CAGCACTGTGGTGCTGGGGTGGCTGACAGATGGCTGACTATTGGTCCAGTGTAAAAGACAGGAGAAGAAATAGGGATGTTTCACTAGGGAATGAAAGGCTCACCCAATCAGACTCTCATAGAACATATAAATGTTAGCAGCATTTAAGGACTTGGCAAAGGGAGAGGGGAATAGAACTGGAAGCAGAAGTACCAGGGGGGCCAAGAAAATAGATATTGAACAAGGAAAAGGACAAGAGAGTCTGGGAATGATGGGTTCCCTTTGGTTTGACCCCTTGCTGAAGGGGTCAGACAATGGGCAAGAGCCCTTCGTACAGATGGAGAGAAACCAAGTTAGAATGGTGTTAAGAGCTGAGAGGGAGGCAAGGAAGTGGAAAGTAATACTGTTATCAAATGTTGGCTAGATGGTGGTGGTGCACGCCTTTAATCCCAGCACTTGGGAGGCAGAGGTAGGAGAATCTCTGTTAGCTTGAGGCCAGCCTGGTCCACAAAGTGAGTTCCAGGACAGCCAGAGCTGTTACACAGAGAAACCCTGTCTTGAAAAACAAACAAACAAACAAATGAATACATAGCCAAATATTCTTAGCTCGAGAGAAGGGTGGTATAAGGCAAGGGGATAGTGACATTACTACTTTTTAAAATGAGCAACTGGGGCACAGTTGTGGATTTTAGAAATAGGATCAATAGAAACACAGGGAAGAGAGTATAGTCCTAGAGTAGATGAGAAGTGGTAAGTTCAGGCAGAGGCACTGTGAGGGTAGTGGCCCCTGCTGCAGTGGCAGCTGGCCCGATGGGTACATTTTTAGGTAGTGGTTTAGATGGGGGTGGGCCACTCTTCATTTCTTGGGGGAGTGTACAATAAAATCAAGCTTTCTTCATGCAGGAGCAGAGGGCAGAAGAATGGGTGACAGTGTGGGGAAAAGCTGAATGTAGACAGCCCTGGGAATGGCAGGACTGTGTTGAGGTCCCCTGTGAGGGGGTAGGGGATAGGGTTCCAGGATGTAGTCTGTATAATCAGAAGATATTTCCCCAACAACATTTAAAAGAGGGGCTTAAGGAAGATATAGAGCTGAGAGGCTAATGTAATGAAAAAATGAAAAAGTCTCATAATGCAATTAACACAAAAGGATTTGTGTATCTTCCCTGGAGCGGGATGGAGGACCAGTGGCACAAAGCATACTTGTGCATCTTCCCTGGGGAGGGATGAGGGACCAATGGGACAAAGGTGCAAAGTAGATATTAACCCAGCCTCTAACCCACAACTAGAGAATTAAATTTATTAAAATCCCTGAGACAGAAAATGAATCTCTTGGTTTCTTTAATTTAGGATATCTCTGAGGGTTTTCACCTGTACCTGTAGGTATAGATAGTCAAAATGAAAGGTCAGAGGTCAAATTTCACATTAATGACCTGGCACTTTGCCACCCCATCCAATACTATATAAAGTCTGTTGTTTATAAAACATCTTTCCTCACATACTAATTTGATGGCTATGTCAAAGAACAATCTGGAGCCCTTTCTGTGGTTGCACAAGCATCTACTCAGATCTTTTACTCTGGGGACTAAAATTGTTCCCACTGTCCTGTGTACCCTGAGATCATTCTGCAGGTCCTATCTGAAATGGGTGCAGAAGCCAGTGAGTTTCACACTGCTGCTGGTGGTTTGCCTTTGGAAGCCATTAGAAGCTTACCTCTGACGCTTCTGAGTGTCTGAGAGTCCATAAAAACTCCAGCATAGCCATAAAAATGGCCACTATTAAGCCACAAATAAGAACCACAAAGATTCCACCAATATTCTCCATTCCCAGGCCTAGAAGAGAGTGATAAAAAAGTAGAAATTACTTTGAGAGAGTGGGAAGACCCACCACAACAATGCAACTGTCACTTAAACAATTGGAATGGAGTCGTGGAGATGGTCTCCTAGACTCATTCGTTCCTGGAAGAGATTTAATTCATTGTTTGAAAGAAAAGCATGGTGGTTGCAGTAAATTGGGGCAAGGAGACCTAACTGTGAATGAAGGAGGATGGGAAACCATAAGCCTGTACTAGGCTGTAAGCTGAGGACTGTCTTATGGGAAAGTGAAGACCCAATCTGATTTAACTCATAGTGGCACAACACCAAAATACCTTAAATTCTAAAACTCTAGCTGATCTTCACAATGCGTTTTGGTATATAAGGATCTAGAAAAAATAATGCTTGCCAGAGCCAGGATATTATAGGTTGGACACACACACACACACACACACACAGAGAGAGAGAGAGAGAGAGAGAGAGAGAGAGAGAGAGAGAGAGAGAGAGAGAGAGAGAGCTCAAATTTAGATTTCAGAGAATGTTTAAGTGTTAGATTTTCAGGCTCGGGGATGCTTAGTCAGACAGTATTCCAAAATCCCAAATCTCCAAGCCCTGAAGTAATCTCAGACCTGGATATCTGGGAGAAGGGACTAAAATGTTAAGTTTATTTGGAAAGTAAGACTTTTTACCCATACTGGATTAATGCATCCTAAACTGGGGTACTACCAGAAACTCCTGAAAATTTTGAAATAGAGATCACCAGTGGTTACTAATAATCCAGTATGTCTGAAGACAGACTCTGTATTTTATTATAATTTTATATTTATTTATTTGTGTGTCAGTGCATGTGCTTATACACCCAGCTCAGCCAAAGAGCTCATATGGAAGACAGAGGACAATCTTCAGGAGCAGGCTCTCTCCCTCTACCATGTAGGCACTGGGAATCAAACTCAGGCCATGAGGTTTGGCAGCAAGCACCCTCCCCTGCTGAACTATCTTACTGGTCCAGAACTCTGTATTAGAAACAAGTTTCCCGGGTTAATTTTCCCCAGCAGCCAGGCCTACAACTAGTTATCTCTGGATGCATCTATGAATTTTTAAGTTCTTTACAGTTGGATTGTACCCTCATTGCCTAGCAAGATATTTAGAGATACCTTGACACATATTTGTAGGATGATTATTGCAAATTCAGTTGCAGCATTGATGAGTTTAGCTCAACAACTAGATGCTTTCTTTGACTGTAGAGAAATCATCCTTTAAATACTTTAAGAGAAGTGTCATGCCAGGCGGTGATGGTGCACACCTTTAATCCCAGCACTTGGGAAGCAGAGGCAGGCAGATCTTTGTGAGTTCAAGGCCAGCCTGGTCTATAAGAGCTAGTTCCAGGACAGCCTCCAAAGCCACAGAGAAACCCTGTCTCGAAAAACGAGAGAGAGAGAGAGAGAGAGAGAGAGAGAGAGAGAGAGAGAGAGAGAGAGAAGTATTACATGGATACATGGGATGCTTCATTGAGTGTGGGGACCACAATCAGGGACCAAAAAAGCTTCTTTTGTCTAAAAAATTGACAACTTGGAGGCTTATGTCCTGTACCCTTTTAGATGACTCCATGTCTGATCTCTAGTTAAGTTGTCATGGGGCATGGAGCTATGCTGTAATCAGGGAGAGTCAGTTTTGCACCACCTAAGATGCTCCACAGAAAGGAACAGGAATTGAGTACTACCTCTGCAGCTCGGAAAGCTGGCACAGTATCCCTACCTGGCCATTTCAAGATGTGTTGGGTTTCCCACCATAAAGACTCAGGTGTGTGTGTGTGTGTGTGTGTGTGTGTGTGTATGTGTGTGTGTGTGTGTGGTGTGTGTGTGTGTGTGTGTTTTAACAACACAGCATAGTGGCATTCTCTGCCCAGCTGATGGTCCACTTCCAGTGGGCCCAAAGCCTCACATAAGAAATACATCAGACAGACCATGCGCTCTGGTCTACCAATTCCCATAGTCATCTCTTCCAAATCTGCACCCATCAGTACAGGGGCCTCTATCTTGATTAACCCAAGACAGAGGATCTTAAAAAATAGGGAGGAAAAGCAGTTTATATTCATTTGAATACCAGCCCCTCTCACCTGGGCCACCAGGGACAGAAGGCATCAGACTATAAGAATAGCAGGGTCTACATGGATAAGGGGATGGAAGGGACTCTAAGGGGGCTATTAAGAAAGAATGGGTATATCCTGGTGTTCTAGCCCATGGAGAAGGAGTGATGAGAAGCAGGATACTATTTCAGGCCGTGAACCCTCCAAGTCCTAGCTTCTCCAGCCAGTGAAGAGAATGACATCAGTGATATTGAGGATGGCTACCTGCCCAGATAAAGAGAGTCCTCAGGTTGTGTTGGGACACTCCAAGATACCCCCATCACTTGAAGATAGATCTACCTGAAATGGAGAAAAGGTCTTGGGTTTCCTAGAAGGGCTTTTCCCTCCTGTTCCTGGAAGGAGTGTTTCTTCTCCTCTCTGGGCCTCACCTGTGCCCGGTGGCTGCATTTCCCACCTCCCTGTCAGTCAGCTCCTGAGCCTTCCCATCTTTTCCTTACCATTTGTTCTTCCCAGTTCATGTCTGTCCCTTCTCAGACTCCTGACTGCTCCAGTTCTGTCCACTCAATGTCCCTCCTCCCTCTTCTCTGTCATTATGAACCTTCTGAGGAGAACTCTCTGTTTGTTTCAACATTATTTTATGCCATTCTTAGAATTCTTAAAACACATTTGGAGATTCTGTCTCACACAAAAGCAGGTAGAAGAAAATCCACCCAACATCTTACAACTAAATGCATTTAAAATGTTTTTGCTTCTGCTTTTATGGAGAAAGATATAGTTAATTTCCAATTGGCTGTGATTTCTCAGCCATCACTGTGCCTACAACGGAATGTTTGCAAAATGAGAAAATCTAACCCAAAAAATTGTGTCTAAATGTGATGCAGCTTTTATGAATATTAAATTTAAAAATTAATGAAGTTGGGACAATGTTCCATTTGGAGATATTTAATTAAACATGTCTTAATTTAATTTTGCAAGTTTTCTTTGTGCATTGGGAAGCCAATATTATTTTTCAGAACCCAAACATAATTTTGAACACCTGAGAAGCTTTAAGGCCCTGGATACCATACCTGATGGAGGAAATGAATCCACCAATCTGGATTTACTTCTGCTAGTCCTAGTTAACAGGCTCTCCTCAAAGGTGATGTGGTCTTACTCCTCTGAAATCACTACGTTTTGTTTCTCAGCTCACAGAAATTGCCCACTCTTGATCTTACACAGCCTCTCTTAGCAGTGGACACTGTCTCTTAGCAGTGGACACTGTCCATCACACTCCCTCTCTTAGCAGTGGACACTGTCCATCACACCCCCCTCTCTTAGCAGAGGACACGGTCCATCACACTTCCTTTCATGGCTCTTTATAAAATCACTGTTCGATGCTCTCTCCCAGCGTCACCAGTCACTTGGGTTTACTCTTGTTCTCATGCCTCTCCTCCACTGGCTATCACCAAGTCCTGCTGTCTTTATCCTAAGTAATCTCCTCCTTATCCATCCCACCACATTCAAGTGCTCCCCAACCCTTGCCTAAACTACTACATCAATTTCAAAAGAATGTCCTTGAATGCAGCCATTTCTTATTCAAAACTATCTCCATAAAACAGGTCTTTTTGAAATGTAAAACCTGTGACATCATCTCCAGCAATACAGAACTATCCGAATTTCCCAATACACCCTTCAGGTGCCTATCTGTACACTTTGACTCCTTTCAAACACTTCTGTGGCTTTGGGTCAAATACATGGGCTCATGTATTTGAACACTTGGTCTCCAGCTGGTGGTACCATTTGCAAAAGGCTATGGAATCTTTGGGATGTGGGTCTCAGCTGGAAGAAATGGGTCACTAGCAGGTGAGGACCCCCCTCTGGTTCTGACCAGCCCCTTGGTGCTTCCTGTTTGGCTGCCATGTGACGGTGTGCCACTTCTAATACTTTAAAGCTCCAGTGGACTGAACTATGCCTTTGACTTCCTGCCACAGTTTGGAATCCCCTAGAAATCGAGAGTTAAATTAAAACCCTCCTCCCTACTCCCTACAGATGTTTCTGTCAGGTTATCTGGTAGCAGTGCTGCAAAAATTTCTAGTCCAGCACCTTTGCAGGGAGACTACTGGAAGTGTGCTTGCACACTTTCACGTGCACACACACACACACACACACACACACACACACACACGAGAGAGAGAGAGAGAGAGAGAGAGAGAGAGAGAGAGAGAGAGAGAGAGCTAGCCTGTCCTTTTATCACTGAACTCCAGGGCCACTTCATCTTGGCTTATCTGATCATACACAACTCTGTCAAAGTATATTGCTTTCATGCCTCTCTAGTAACACATTGTGCATTATTCCAGTTATGTGTATACAATAATCATGGGTTTAAGTTTATATATCTAGATTTCCCATTAGACCAAGTTCATTGGGAAGAACCATGCATTGTGTAACTCTACCCCAGGATCATGGGATGTGGCCCATGAGAGGTGATCAAGAAAAAAAAATGACCAGAAGGGACTGGGATGTGGCTGAGCAGTTAAAGCTCTTGCTATGCAAGCAAGAGGACCAGAATTCATATCCCAAGAACTCCATACCAGTGCCAGGTGAGTGTGGCTGCTTGCCTATAGTTCCAGACTTGCAAGAAAGAGCTGGCTAGCCAGACCAGAAGTATTGGTGAGCTTTGGGTTTGAGAGAACCAGTCTCAAGAAGAAGAAAGTAGAAAAATAATCAAGGAAGATTCAGCCTCATATGCACACATGCAGGTACTCACATGCCTGAAAAAAAAATGACCAGAAGGGACTGGGATGTGGCTGAGCAGTTAAAGCTCTTGCTATGCAAGCAAGAGGACCAGAATTCATATCCCAAGAACTCCATACCAGTGCCAGGTGAGTGTGGCTGCTTGCCTATAGTTCCAGACTTGCAAGAAAGAGCTGGCTAGCCAGACCAGAAGTATTGG